AGACCCTGATGCTGGGAATGATGGACGGCAAAAGAAGGAGGGGGCGGCAGAGGATGGGGTGGCTGGATGGGGTCCCTGGGGTGGTGGGTGTGGGCTTGGGTGGATCTGGGGGATGGTGGAGGACAGGAGAGCCTGGAGGAATGTTGCCCATGGGGTCGCGATGGGTTGGGTGCAACTTTGCAACTAAACAACAGCAGAAGCATCACTTCCAAAACAGGTGAAGTGCGAGGGGGGTGGCATAGAAAAGTTTTAAATAAATAAATAGTTCCCCTATACTCAGCACCAGTCAGACCTTACCTAGCATACTGTGTCCAGTTTTAAGAAGATGCAGATAAGCTAGAAAGGGCACAGAGGAGGGCAACAAGGATGATTCAGAGACGGGAGGCAAAACCTTGTGAGGAAAGATTGAGAGAACCAGAACTGACTGGAACAAAAGAAGAGAAGGCCGAGGAGTGATGTGATCACATTCCACAAGTACCTGGAAGTTTGTCACAAAGAGGAAGGTCAAGTTCTCTTCTTGTTCATTCCAGAGTACAAGATATGGAATAATGGACTTAAGTAAAAAGAAGCCAAATTTAGACTAGATACCAGGAAGAATTTCTTCAGTGTCAGAGCCGTACAGCAATGGAACTTCTTACCTGGGGAAGTTGTGGGCTCTCCTTTGCTGGAGACATTCAGAAAGCATCTGGGCATGGTGTATCCTGGAGTCCTGCACTGCGCATGATGCTGGACCTGATGGCCTTCTGGCCCAGTCCAACTCTACTATTCTATGATTCTCTCTCTGCACAGTGAGACTCGGGTCCAAGCAAACAAGCAAATATTCCCAGCCTTAATGAGTCTGTGGCCAAAGTGACATCTCGCCTGCATTCTCAGCTCCCGAAGCTGTCATGAAACTTAGATCCAGGGGCTTCTTAGCCTGGAGCAAGTTGGAGGTGCTTGGTTAACAGCAGCATTATACTGTCTGTAGGAGACTGGTCTGGGCTTAAGCAAATGAAGGCGGGATGCAGCAATCCGTTCCAAGTTAAGCCTGGCTTAAATAATTTGGTCCAAATGGAGAATGGGTGTTCCAATGTAAGAATATCCTGGGAGAAACATGAACTTGCTTATGGGGTATTTTGTAAAACAAGTTACCTCTCCAGGATATTAATTTATTACAATAAAATATAGATTGCTCTGTATATTTATAAGTGCCTAGAAGGTCTGTAATTTATAATTAACTGTCTTGTGAAATGGTTTTATAGCTAATAATTATAATGAAGTCTTGGCACATTAAAACTGGAAAAGTGCAGGCATGTTACATGGATTGAATATCTTCCTGTAGTGAGTCAGTGGCACCTGCGGAAGAGAAATGGGGAAGGAGGAAGAGGGCTGCTGGCCTTCGGAAGCCGAGCTGAATAATTTCTTGGAGCCTATCCTTGAATTATACCTGCCACACAGGGAGGAATTGCTAGCAAGTTTCCTTGAGCTGCCTGCCATGCAGCTATGTGAGCAGAAAGGAACAAGTAGTACATCCGCAGAGCCACACCAGTGTGGTTCCCGGTGGAAATCTAATGCAGAAGGACTGCTTCAGGAGAAGCAGAGATTCGACATGAAGGGGCTGTGACAGGTTTTCCGAGTGCTCCGCTCACTCAGGGACTGGCCACCCTCCCGGCGATGCTCTTATGCCAGCGTGGCAGGTTTAAGCAATCCCGCTGGAGCCCATGGAGTGCCCATGAGATCAGCTCACCTCCTTCCACTTCGGTGGCACGTCAGTGGAAAGGATTCAGACAAACTTGGCAGCCATATAAGACCAGAGGTGTGCAAGTGGCAGCTGGGAGTGCGCACATCACACGGGGCACCCTTTCCTCATGTGTCTTTTAGGTGCCCAAAGCCCCCCGTCCGATCCCATCACCCCACAGCTGCAGGGACAAGGGTGCTCTAGCTGGTCCTTTGCAAGGCAACTGCCCTGTTTGCTCCAGGCAGCTCCATGACAGGCAGTGATTCAACAGGTAGAGGGGTTCCAAACATGGAGCCGGTGTTGCAAACATGGAACCTGCTCACTTGCTGTTGGCTGAGCACTGTCCAAGGCACGGGAATGCTGCTGGAGTGACGGGCTGGCAGCTTTGCAGACGTTCATTTCAGGGTCTCCTCCATCTTGGATGCTACGCAACGAAGGCTTCCACTGTGCCGGATGGCTTGCTTCTTTGTTGGTGGGGGGTGAAAGTGGGGGATCCCACAGCCTAGCAGGGTCTGTCTTCGGGATGGGGCCCTGAGGGGGGGCAGTGAGCTTGAGGGTCTCAGGGGAAGTGGTCCCCCCTCTGCCAGCTCATTCCTGTTCCCCAAACTGTGAAGGAGGAAAGGCCCTTCAGGGGCACATGTGAGACTCTTCCTGGGCATATGAAGCTGTGAGTTTGAGACAGGGGTAGAGGCGAGAGGAAGGGATGTTGAGGTAGGCAGAAGAGCAACAAGTCCTGCTGGGCTCCTTCAGAGTGGGGGCACCCTGCGATGTTCGCAAGGGGAAGGAGTGGGCTGAACAGGCTGGCTGGTCCATGCAAAGGCCAGGCAAGGGGCTTGCAGCTGGACCCTTGGCAGGGAAAGCGCGAGCTGTTCCAGCCAGCTCGGGACTCGCCTCCCTCTCCAGCCCTCCTGGTGGTATCTGTGATGCACCGGCTTGCTGTCTAGGCAGCCTCTGAATCATCATTCACGGAGCCATCCAAGCCTAGGGTGAATTTTGAGTCAGATGTAACCTTCCGTGAGTCACAGTTTCTGTCTCATACCCACAATGCATAAGACTGGCCGACTTTACAGTATTGTTTTGAGCCTCACCGAGATAATCTATGAAAACTATTTGGCCCATTGGACATGTGCAATGTAAAAATATTACTGTTATTATATTGCCGCCGATTGTGGTGCAATATTTATTCAGCTTGCTTGACGCATCACCTTTAGAACGAACCATTGTCTGCAGTGGAGACCTCCACCCTTCCTAGATCCTTGTTCCCCAACTCGGTGCTCTCCAGATGGGTTGCACTACAACTTCCATCATCCCCAGCCAGCATGGTACTCGGAAGGGAGGGAGACTCTCGGCTTGACATCAGAGGTTGGCTGTTTCTTCCTGTTTGGCCATCCTTCTCTCTCTGTCTTGCACGGAGCCTTCCAAAAGGAGCTGCATCCAGAAGGAATGGCAGGCAGCCTCTGCAGCTGCCAGTTTTCACCCACCCGACCGACTCTGAGACCTGGCCAGGCCGTCTGAGCTTCTGTGGGTCAGTGGGAATGAGCACCGTCAAGCCCTTTCTTGGCCCAGAACACAGGATCCCAGTGAGAAGGAGACTCTTCCTATTGCCTGGGGTGGGCTGTCTGACATGCCTTGTATGCTTTTTCTCATTCCTTTTTGTTGTGAGCAAAAGTGGGCAATGTATCTTTAGAGCTGGACTCCCAATGTGGCCCGACAAATGGTTCAACATTGATATTCTTGGTGCTGAATATTCTTAACGGACCTATTGGTGTGGCTCATGTTTATTTAAAAGTTTGAAATGGCCTGTAATTGAGTTATATTGCAATGCAGGATAATTATGGCTATTGCATGCAGTTGAACCACGTTCAACCAGTCCCGTAAACCACGTTGAACACATTGCATTTGGCAAAGGCAGGATACAAATAACTGGGCTATGACTCTGACCAGGTGGGAATTTCCTCTGGCTACAAGCACAGTAGCACCCTTTGTCTGCCTCCTCTGTTCCTCCTCCTGCTTCCTTTTCCAGCAGTTATGCAGAATGTTCACATTGCAGGAAGAAATAAAGACGGTGCAATGGGCTGCTATACTGGAGTTACCCAGGAAGAGAGCAAAGATGAAAGGCTAGTACTGTGCCTATCTGATAACACCCACCTTATAAAATTGTGCGCCAAAAATAGCACACACATATTTTGTGGATCAGTTCTCTATATGAATTTTTATTATTACATGCCATCAAGTTTTCTGCAACTTCTGGCAACCCGATTAATGAGTGCCCTTCAAATTGTCCTGTCATTGAGCTCTGTTAAACTCGTGACTTCCCTGATGGAACTGACCCATCTCAGATTTGGTCTTCGTCTCTGACTTCCCCTAGCGACACGGTCTTCTCCAGTGAATCCTGCCTAAAGCACAACAGCTTCTGTTTGGTCATTTTTTACTTCCAGGGCAAATTCTAGCTTGGTTTGATCCGGGACCTGCTTGTTTGTCTTTCTCAGTACCGTGCTTTGAACACATGAATTTCTCCCTGTCAGATTTCTACGCTGCCCAGCTCTCACATCCATACAGTAGTTGCTACTGCTGCCAGCACGCCCTCTCCTCCTTCTGGCAACCCCTCCAAGATGACCTGTCCTTGGCAGCCCTCCTCAGCTCTTGCGAGCTCCAGGCTGCGGCTTCCTGGAGGAGGAGGAGGAGGAGGAGGAGGAGGAGGTATTCCTATGCCATACCGCTTAATGGCCGTTATGGACTCGATCCACCTCCTCGCTGGCCTTCCGCCTTCCACCTTCCCTTGCACGATGGCCTCCTCCCGTGAGACCTGCCTGCTCACGGACTAGGCAGGGGCAGCGCTGAGGGCCGGGCAGCGACCTCGCAAGCGCCGGCCCGAGGCATTCGCCACCGGGCGCCCCGCGGCCCCTGCACGAGCCGCAGCCCCGCGCACGGCCCCGCCGGCGATGCCCGCGCCGCTCCCGGCCGGGCCACGCGCCGCTGCCGCAGAGCCGCGGAGGGGCGTGGCCCCCTCCCGCCGCGATGCGCTCGAGGAGCCCGGCCGGGGGCGGGGCGTGGGCGGGGCCGCAGGCATGGCCCCCCGCCCCGCCGCGGCTCGTGCAGGGGCCGCGGGGCGCCCGGTGGCGAAT